AGCCAGACCCCAGCCACACCCAGCTGGATGAGTCTGAACTTGGTAGATCTTAACCTGGTGCTACAGTAATAACTATCTAAGCTCTACAACAAAGGTCAGAAGACAGTGCTATACAAAATGACAGAGAGAAGGAGAAAAATGCATTCCCAGGTCCCGAGTCCACCCAGAACAAATGCAGGAGACACTAGCATAGAAGAAATTGGAAATCACAAACCTGAAATCTCTGAAATAATAGCGTCGGAAGTAAAGAATCAACTGCAGAAACATATAGAGGAAATTACATCAGAAATAATTTCTGAAGTAAAAAAAGAATTGATAACTATAATGAAAGAAGTACTAAGTGCTTCTAAAGAAGACAGCAATTACTGCAATACTGTCTCTCAAGTAAATGTTTGTTTAAAAAAAGTGTAATAAATGAAAACAAGAGACAAGAAAAAAAAAGTCACAGGACTGTCCTCTGCTGTACAGGGTTAGCTTTCTAGATTTCTGTATAAAAATATATAATTATTTATTCCTATTTTTTAAATATCTTTTTTAATGTTTTTTTCTTCATATTCTGTAGGGACTTAAAGTTTAACATATCAATACTTCATGGAAAATACCTGTTCCATGTTGTCTAAGATGTTTGATATTCAGACTAATAGTGAAATTAAGCTCAATTGTTTATGTTGTAGGGTAATAATAAAAAGTTTCTCTTCTGGAGGGTTAACAACCTAAGTTTGTAGACCAAAAATTAGAGAAATAGAAGGGCTGCAGGGACAGCCAACATTTTGGCCCTAGCCTATCAAGGTCAGCGAGGACTCAGGAAATAGGAGAACCTGTAATATAACTCATATGTGTTCCAAATTTCACGATCAAGGAAATGGGGCCACAGAGGAAAGTGACTCATGAAGCAGAGTGTGCCTAAGGAGAGTCACATGGAGAGAAAACATTCTCTCATGCTTTCATAGAGAGCAAATTGGTTAAGCAATGGCTGTGATTCATCCACATGGCTGACACTGACAAAGGATCTACAAAGTGCAGTACAGGGTTTCAGGATAAATCCTGAGGAGATTCCACTGACCTTATCAGATATAAACATTACATTTTTTGTTTTATAGATCTTGCTTTCTAGACCTATATATTCTGCTGCATGGTTAAGACCTTCTTGGTGTTTTTCTTTTTGTGTGTGTTTTTTGGCAGAACTGGGGACCGAAGACCTTTGTGGTCTTAACCATCCAGCAGAAAAGTATAAAAGTGAAGTATAAAAAAGTAAAGCCATATTAATATGCTGAGCTGTAAAAGGCTCAGGTCAACAACTTCTGCCTGTCTTATGGATAACCCACTACTGTTATGGACTACTGGTCTATATTGGAATAGTTTGCTGAATTCACACACCTATAATATTTAAATGACAATGGAATACCCTTGTCTGACAAAACTAAACAAAAAAAAGGGGATACAAATGAACGAACATTTTGTATCTGTATATTCAAAATAGTTAGGATAGATATATAGCTACTTTCTTTTAATTCAATGAATAGAAAGATTTGTTCTAATAGTGTTTGTAAACAGGATGTCATGTCTGCATCTTGCACAATGAATAACCACTAAGACAACAATATGCAATGTATTAATTATTGAAACTGTCCTACTAATCAGATTTGAAACTGCCTCATTACTATTTGTTTCTCAATAAAAATACTGAAAAAAATAAAGGTAAACTTGAAAAAGAAAAGAAATTGACAGTGAATAAAGGTTGTCTTCTCATTGTGTAAGTCTTTCAGATGAAGAAAGGAGTCATGTAATAGCTGTCTTCTGAGTACAGAGAGATTTATTATGAAAACTTCCTATATAAATATAAATTTTTCTTGTAAAGCTGTAACTTTTCAATCCTACTCTTGTGACTAAAGTTTAAAATAAACAACAACCTGAAGTAATCCACAGGCCAAAGCGAGATATATTTGGCACGACGTGTTGTGAGCTCTTGCCATCATTCTTTGGGGTGAGACATCCTGAGGCCAAAGAGGTACAAACTGTTGCACTGTTTGAAGTGAAATAAAAAGCCCTGAAAGGACATGAATTGTTGGAGGGCCTCTATTACTTGACCCATACCCAAATAACAGAACAGAAATTTTCTTGGTATCATCCAAATGATTCAGCTATTTATCATACTATTCAGAAAGTTTAGTGCTTTTGTCTGGCTGCACAATCTCCTCACCCAAAGCTATAACTCTTTCATACACTCCAACTTCAAAGCTTTTGTTTTCCTAATATCTATATGTGTTGTGGGTGGGGTGAGGCAGGGGAGAGAGAGAGAGAGAGAGAGAGAGAGAGAGAGAGAGAGAGAGAGAGAGAGAATTTCTAATTATTTGAGTAATGAATTATTACAGACAAAATTCTGAATCAAGTTGGCTTTTTCCTCTTGATCTAGCTCTGAACAGGGCTTAATCCTCCTTTTCCACCTCCTCTCCACTCTCAAAGTTCCTGTCCCTGTTAAGCTTTTCTGCAGTATCTCTTATTACCAATCTCTGACCACAAACTAACCACAAATTCCTTTTTATTATTGTGGAACCAATAAGATCAGGCATGGATGGAGCAGTGAAGAATAGTAAAAATGAGAGCTAAAACTAGCAATCACTAAGTTTGCAGACCAAAATTAGAGAAAAAGGAGGGCCACAAGGAGAGCCAACATTTTGGCCCTAGCCTTCTAAGGTCAATTAAGACTCAGGACATATGAGAACCTGTACTGTAACGTCATGTAACTCAGTAGTGTCCCAAATTTTCTGATCAAGGAGATTATGGGGCCCAAGAGGAAAGTGATCCATGATGTAGAGTGTGCTTAAGGAGAGTCACATGGAGAGAAAACATTCTCTCAGGCTTTCACAGAGAGCACATTGGCCAAGCAATGGCCATGACTCATCCACATGGCTGACACTGACAAAGGATCTACAAACTGTGGTACAGGGTCTCAGAATAAATCCTGAGGGGTTTTGACTGACCTTATCAGATACAAAAACTACAACTCTTGTTACATAGGTCTTGCTTTATCTTGGTCTTAACCATCCAGCAGAAAAGTATAAAAACAAAGTATAAGAAGTAAAGCCATGCTGTTATGTTGAGCTGTAGGGGACTCAGGTCAACAATTTCTGACACTGCCAGTGAAGCAGAAGACCCAATACTGCTATGGACTACTGGACTCTTTTAGAATATTTTGCTGATATTCTATAATATTCAAATGATGGAACTAAACAAAAAAGGGAATACAAATGAACGTCCATTTTGTATCCTTGTATTCAAAATGGTTAGGATAGATATATAATAACATTCTCTTAACGAATAGAGGGATTTGTTCTAATAGTGTTTGTAAATAGTATATCATGTCCGCATCTTGTACAGCAATTAACCACTAGGAAGAATGTATGCAATGTGTCAATTATTGAATCTGTCCTACCAATTTGGTTTGAAACTGTCTCATTGCTATTTGTTTCTCAATAAAATTATGGAAAAAAAACTAGCAATCAACTTCTCAGCCTATTAAAGAATAGAAGGTTATCAATATGCATAAAAGAAGCAAGGGGAGGGATGAGTGTATGCAGGGGAGGAATGTTCATGTTTTTTCTGTATGAACATAAGTAGATTTTCCAGGAATTTTGATGCCACCACTTTTTGCTCCTTTTGTGGTTCTTTCCAATTAGTGTCATGGCAATTACCAACTGTCATTACACTGGGGAGTGTGGTTTAGCATGCAGATAGGATTATAAGGAAGTGAAGGGTTGCTCTTGCAGCACCTTAGATACCACCAGTTTTGAAATCAATTTATTAAGAACTTAATGGGACTGGTGAGTTAGCTCAGGGCTAAGCGCCTGCTTTGGCAAGCACAGGAACCAGGGTTCGATCCCCAGTCCCTCATGGTACCAGCCCCACCCCCAGGGCATGCTAAACAGCAACAGAGTCGGAGCGTGGTGGTGCATACCTGTAATCCCAGCACTAGGGAAGCTGAAAACAAGAGGATCACTACTAGTCCAGTATGCATGGTAAGACCCTTTACCACATACACAACTTTAAAAAAAGAAGAACTTAAGGGACAGAGGGATAGACACTCATCTCCACCAGCAGCAACACAAGATACCTAGGTTAGAGATTAGCAGGGGGGCTTATAGTGGCCCCCCACTTACTGCAGAGGTTACACTCCAGACACCCTGCGATAAGTGAAAATCAGCAAAGGAATGATGTTATATTTATTTTAGCATTCATATACATTTTAAGGCTTTATAAACCCTTCCCACACTCTTGTAAACGTTTCCCACACTTTTAAAAACATTTCTTGTGTTCTTAACCATTTTCTAAACTCGTAAACCTAAGTAACAACATATGTATACTAACATATTTTAACAACATATGTACACTACATGGTACAGTATGTATTCATCCACTAAAATATGTACTGTAAACAGTGTATTTTATTTCATTTAATATTCTTTTAACATGTTAGAATTAACATTTTGGTATATCTTTATACATTTTAATTATTTTAAGCAGAAATCATTAAAAACCATAAATATTACACATATAAATACATACACAGTTTTGTACCTTACTGCAAAATCCCAAATGTAGCTAAACATGCGCAATAAATAATTTAGATTAATATTCTTTGAAAATCCATGAAATAGCAAGTCTGCAAAAGTGGAACAACCACACAGCAAGGGACTACTCTATCTGCTAAGCTAGACAAAGATATGTAGGTGGCTTTGTCAAGAATGGTTAACACATTAGAGGTCAGATAAGAAACAATACAGGCATCACCAGGGCCTGGCACCCGTGCTCAAAGACTGCTGTCTTCAGGACGTTATGGGGCAGGGTTTGGAATGCAAGCCAGGATCATCTGGTGGGCAAGACTGTGGTTATCACCAAGATGCAAAGCTAAAAGATGCGAAGGTGTCTTCCCTTAAATACACTGATACAATTATTTACAGAGAAAGACATAGATTTTCTTAATTAATCACTTCCACAGCTTGTTATCTATGTCTTTGTAAGCATCTTCCCAAGGTTCTTCTCATAGCTGTCTTTACTTCTTTGGTTTTTAGGCTGTAAATGAGGGGATTCACCAGGGGAGTGACCACGCCATATTGGATAGAGAAGAGCAGTTCAAGAGGCGAACCTGAGCTTGGAATGAGATAACGGAGGAAAGCTGAGCCGTAGAAAAGACTCACTGCAGTGACGTGGGAAGAGCAGGTGGAGAAGGCCTTGCTTCTGTCTGTGGTGGACCTTATGCTCAAGATGGTGGCGACAATGTGGACGTAGGAAAAGAAGATCAGGAAAAATGTGCCGAAGCCATGCAGGAGGGTGGAGCAGGCCAGAACAGTTACACTGGTGGAAACCTCAGAGCAGGACAGAGGAAAGAGGGAAGGCAGCTCACAGGTGTAGTGTGGAATGGCGTGGGCATCACAGAAGTTCATACGCACAGCTGGAAGAATATTGATAACTGCATCCAGAAAACCTAGGCCCCACGAAGCCCACACCAGACTCAGACACAGTTGGTTGCTCATTAGCTGGCCATACAGCAGAGGATGGCAGATGGCAGCATAGCGGTCATAGGCCATCACTGAAAGAAGCAAAGCTTCAGCCCCTGCTGTAGTAAGCACAAAGAAGACCTGAGTCAGGCACCCTGCTACTGAGATGGTTTTCTTCTCAGACAGGAGGTTCTCTAGCATCTTGGGCACAGTGACTGAAGAGAAGCAGAGGTCCACAAATGATAGATTGCTCAAGAAGAAGTACATGGGGGTGTGAAGTTGGAACTCGGTCCTGATCACCAGCAGCACCATCAGGTTCCCCACCATGGTCAGGAGGTAAATCAACAGGAACAGCATAAACAACAGCACCTGGACATGGGGGTTAACAGAAAGTCCAAGAAGGACAAACTCCATGATGGTGCTGTGATTCCTCATGGCCACTTAAGCAGAATGTCTTCTAGAAATAAATACAGAATTAGAATGGAAATCTCCCTTCCTTATACCCAATTGTAGAGATAGGGCTTCCATTTATATGGGCATATTCCTGTTTGGCTTTCTTTAACATAGGCCTGCAAAAACCCACTATAATATTGCCATAGGGCCACTATTCCACTGGAAAGACTGCTGAAGAAATTTCTTAATTTGCCAAGACCTTGCCCATGACTCATTTATCTGATCTTCAGCGGAGCAGTGCTTTGCTAGCTGTATTGTGTGCAGCTTTGCTTGCCTTGGTAGGGCCTATTTCAGCTTGCCTTGGTAGGGCCTATTTCAGCTTGCCTTGGTAGGGCCTATTTCAGCATGCCTTGGTAAGGCCTATTTCAGCATGCCTTGGTAGGGCCTATTTCAGCATGCCTTGGTAGGGCCTATTTCAGCATGCCTTGGTAGGGCCTATTTTACTATCCCTGAGTAGGGCCCATTTCAAAACCTTTGGGAGTGTTCTCTGTTCCTCACCTATTCTCCCATTTGGAAACATTCCTAAGATTTCCAGCTGGTAGTGATATCTTTTATCTCTCTTTTTATAAGCCACCCATGTCTTGGGTTTAAATTATCTTTCAATGATGGAAATATTTCATTTATTATTGATCCATGTAACATAATGCCTCTTAATTCTATTTTCTCAGGCTTTTTTACCATGTACTTGACACATTGACATATAAGGGTGATTGAAAGATACAAAGACAGGGGCCGGGGCTTCAATCCCCGGGCTTGCCATGCCAGCCCCACCCCCAGGGCACACTGAGATGACAATTAGGACTGAGTGGGGTGGCGCACGCCTGTAATCCCAGCTCTTGGGAGGCTGTAAACAGACGGATCACTGTGAGTCTGATCTAGTAGTGAGACCCTGAACACCCTGTAGACCCTGCCCTAAAATACAGAAAAATAAAAAATAAAAAAAGAAAGATACAGTGAATGTTTGATTGTTAAATGCTTATTACAGTAATATACACATTGTTAAGAGCAATGATATAAGTACATCTGAAGAGGAGGCAATGACAATGTATTGTCATTGTAATACATTTGCTTCTTTCTTTCTTTTTGAAGGAAAGGCTTATTTAGCTCACTGTTTGTGGAGACTTGAGTTTATAATCAGCTGGCTGCAAGGCAGAGTGACATGTGGCAGGGGGCAGCAGTTCATGGTGGTAGAAAAGAGCAAAACGGAAAGAGCAAAAAAGGGAGGCACCATTTGTAATTTTTAAATTAAAATTTATATTAGTTTTTATTATATTGCACTGACCAACTGATCACTGCAATTTCTGTCAAATAAAAGCCCTCATGACGTCCAGTTAACAGCAGCATGAACGCTGCTGCCGAGTGCCTCGGGAGGGCAAGTTCACACACATCGTGGTGCACCTGCGCCCTTCTGGCTTGCCAGATCTGCACCACGCAACTTCCCGGTAGGCCGCCGAGGAGGGCCCAGTCACGCAACCTCTGGCTCTTTCTCCAGTTCAAAATGACAATGAAAGGTAAATCTTTTCAATCAGTTCAGGTCTTCAAGGCAGCTACCACAGTGCAAGAAAAGGTTTATGCTCACAAAAAGAACTACTAGAACTACTCAGAAGTTGGCAAAAAAAAAAAAAAAAAAGTGTGCACAAAGTGAGGATGGGGGTAAGGGTAATGTCTCGTTGCTTTTCTCTCACTGCTGGGACAAAATACCTACCACCCAATATTGAAGAAGGAAAGGTGTATTTAGCTCAGTTTGTGAAGATTTCAGTCCATCATCAGCTGGCCCCAAGGCAAAGTGATACGTGGAAGAAAGCGGCACTTCATGGTGGTGGAAAATGACAAAAGTAGCAAGACCAAAGGGAGGAGCAGAGGCAGAGGGCAAGCCTCTCCCTTCCTGATACTGCATTAGGGCTCCCTGCAAGGGCAGGTGTAGCACTCACACCCATAACCCCAGCTTTGGATCATGAATTAATCTCAAATTCTAGAAGCCCACCCATGACTGCATGAGGCTTTGTGGGGACATTCAAACACAAACCATAATAGGCAATGTGTCTTTTTTGTAATAAATGAAAAAAAATCCATTACATTTTTCAGTCACACCTGGTATATATGTACATCTTTTCCTCCTAGATTCTAAGTTATTCTTTTCTAGTAATTTTTTTCTTTAGAAGTTGTCCTTTACTTTTTCATTTCAAGATTACAAAAATATTGTTTAAATTTACTTCTGCTATTTAAATCTATAATATAAACTCGATTTGGAGGAGAAGATAAAAATTAACTTTTTTTCAAAACATGGTTGTTATTTATACTTTTTTGGTAATTATTCTAGTTCTCTGGTTTTACATTTTTACTAAAAATTGTCATCTTTTAAATGATTTATAATGATCTCTTTATACATAAAACAATGGCTTAATAAATGTTAGTATTATCCAGTTACCTTCTTTCATTTTACTTTATGCTATTTTTAAGATATTTTAATATATTGAAGCAATACAACCTTATGTAGTCTACAAGCTTCTCTTTTTTTTCTACCTTTCATTTTATACTTTATAAGTTCTCTATAACTATTTGTTTGTATTGTTTTAAGTACTGCATGAAAATTTTGTAATGTATGAATGAATTCATTTTGAATTTTAAAAAAAAAAGAAGAAGTTGTCCTTTATCCCCACGATGTTTGTTTGCTTGAATCAGGGTCTTGCTGTGTGATTCAGAGCAGACTTCCACTTCCCTATAGCCCAGCTGGCCTGACACATGCAATGGTCCTTCTTTCTCAGCCTCCCAACTTCTAGGATTACAGGTGTGTGCTGCCACATTTGGTTTTTATCTCCAGTTTCAAACTTAATCTAGAGCCATTCACTTAGGTTTTACGTTTTTGTGAAAGTTGGTGCCTTGCTCGATAACTTCAGTCTTCTGACCGGACAAGTTTAGTTCTTAGTCTGTCTTGTATTTTTCAACTTTGTCCTGATGCCAAGAGTCAGACACAAGAACTCACAAGGAAGTAAGCCAGCCCGTTTTCCAGATCTTGTCTCTTCAGGCTCTTCTTCACTGTCACTATTAAGCACTCCCAGGGACTCTCAGATGAAGAGTCTCACTTAGAAATCAAATCCACGTTGCAATTTGTCCAGTAGGTAAATCTGTAGTCTAAAGTGACCCAAATTAGCCCTAATTCAGCGGAAGAAAGCAACTTTCTGGAGAAAATCTGGTTTGAGGCATCTTTGTCACTTTCATCTTTGAGTCTGTAAAGTCTTTTCATAGTGAATGCCTTCCTTAATATCCTCATTAGCTAAATAACAATCACATTAAATAACAAAAATTAATTTTCATTATTCTCCTCTAAAAATGGAAAATTTCTTCAAATATTTGAATTTTCTAGAACGAATTGGAGTGCCCCAATTATTCTATATTTACTTGGAAAGGACAGTTGATCATGTTATCTGCCTGTATTTCTATTTCTGTACCTAAGAGTATGCCAGTGTATGCAGGGGATGTTGAAGAGATGCTGCTTGAGGCCCACAGATAGCTTGGGATGATGGAATATGGCTCCACAGTGGGGTTGGAGACAGCTTGTGTACTGTGGTTGCATGCATGGATGTGTGTATAAAACTGTCCTGACACAGACTGCTTTCGAGATGAGAAACTAAGACACAGAAAGTCACATGACTTTTCCAAGGTCATAGATGGTGTTAAAGCTGAGATTTGGGTTCAGGCAGATGGCTGTATGACATTGTGGCAGACTTCTTATATGAGGAATGATTTTTAAATATGGTGAATGTTTACATTTTTATAGTTATTACAAGCTGAGGATAGCTCAGCAGCATAAGCACCTGCCTAGCAAGTGCAAGGTTCTAAGTTCAGTCCCCAGCACCAAAACACAAAAAAAGAAAAAACTCAACTAAAAAAATTATTACAGTAAAAATCACATTTCCATTAATACCCCTCAAAATATATCTCCTCACATCAAAATATAGCCCTCTCTATCTGGCCACTTCTGAAGCTAAAAGTTCTTTTTGTGATTGTCTTTAGTTGCACTGTGGCTGATTTGACATCCTGTACTGATTAAAATGCTTACCTTTCCTAGTCAATTGACTTTGAGGAATAGAAGGAAGCCACATGGTGGTGACCTAATCAATAAAGTGAGGGAGGCCACCTCTCAGTGGTTATGATCCTGTCTCTCATTGGATGGAACTCAGTATAGCATTCACTATACTTTCATAAAAACTTGTAAGCCTCACATGTGCTAAATTTAATAGTGTTAAATAATTGCCCAAATTCTTAGATTGACAGGTTATTGAGTACAGAAAGAAAAAGGTATCCAGTGTTTAATAAGTGTATTAGACGTGGGAGAGCCTGCATATTCAAATGTGGGTGGGATGGGTGGGGTGGGGTGGAAGCTGGTATACCTAACATGAAGCATACAAAGACCCTGGTGTCTCATAGCACTAGGACTGCAGAAAAAGGTTGAAAGTAGGCGATGACTCTGCAAAAATGCTTTTCATTCAGATATTTTCTCTACAATCTTTCAGATTCTTGCCCCCTGTCTGTGTGCTTCATGCCTTAAGTATTTGTTGGGATCAAGGATTAGTAGTTGACAATAGAATGAACTTCTGTAGTGTGTGTTCTCTGACACCCTAGAAGAGGGCTTTGTTGGCACCCACGTTACGCTGCGCTTTCTGTTCTACCCTGCTGCGCACGCCGCTGTGGACTGCTCATTCTGCAGGACGCCTCCCTCACTCTTGACGTTCGTGCTCCTGCCTGCTCTTTTCAGGTTTCACTGCCCACCAGTGCCTGTGCCAGTGCACTTAGAATTCAGAAGGCAAGAAGCTCCTGAGCCGATGCTTTGAGGCTTTGCACGTATAGATCCTTAGGGCAGGAAAACATAACGACCTTATTGTATGAGAAGCCTGATTCCCAGGTTAGCAGGCTCAATGTCCCACAGAGGGAAAATAAACGACAAGATGGGAAAGCAAGGATAGAAGAAGAGGAGAAGGAGA